ATTCTTCTATGTTCTTAGAATAGATTAAGATGTCATCTAGGTAATAGATAACAAAGTCATCTAAAAACTCTCAAAAGATATTATTCATTAGATGTTAGAAAACTACTAATATATTTATAAGTGTAAAAGGCATGACATTATATTTAAAATGTGCATATCTAATTCAAAACACAATCTTCCATTCATCTCTTTTTTTCATGAATATGAGATTGTATGCTTCTCATATATCTATTTTTGTATATGACTTTCTATTTGATTAACTATACTTTTAGTTATACTTTTAGAAAAGTGAAGACTATAAAAAATCTAATCTATTTTAGGATTATATTTTTTTAACTATAATAAATCTAAAATGATTGAATTAGAAGAAGATCTAATGATATTAAATACCACAAAGCTACTATAATCATTGATTATTATTATTATAAGAAGAATTTTACAAGTAACATCTCTTAAAGACAATGGACAACCATTTATGACTTCTACGTGAATAGGTTTAGTTTTCTTTATTATAAATATGCTATGTCTTTTAGCAAATTATTTATCTAAGAAATACTTTGAGGCTCTTGAATCTAATAAGACATAGACTTTCTGATATTTAGGTCCTAAAATAATATTTATTATAAAAAAAAAGGATTTTGAAGAAAAAATACGACCTTCATTAGGTGTTGTACAAGGTTCTAGCCACATGGTTTAAATTGTAGCTGGACAAACTTGATTTTTGACACATTATCTTCTTTGATAGCCGTACTCTTTATTTTGTGGCTGCATGATTTTTTTGGATAATATTAAGCAGTATGCTTAGATTTTCTACAATATAAGCACAAAACTTCCTAACAACAATAAGTCTTTTTTTGCTCAATGAGAAGTTTAAAATGTATCATATTAATTTGCATATCTTTTACTTTTAAATATATGTATTGAAGAAACATTGATATTGTTATTGAATTATAGTAATATTAAGGTATATTTATGCAATTGTTAAATTAAAATTCAAAAAGTTGATTATCATACTTTACAACAAAGTCAATTGTTTGATTCAACGTTTGAGGATTAAATAAGTTGAGCATCAATTTTTTTATCTCATATTATAATCCATAGAATAATTGGATAATAAGTACAATATCATTTTACTTGATATTAGTTACAAGTTGTCAAAATTGTAACGTATACAAAATTATTAATTGATTGTTTTGTTGCAAAATATAGATCTTATTAGTTCTAGTATAAATTACATCATATTTTTTTATATATGGATCAAAATTCAACCAAAAAAGCTTCTAGATTATTTAATATCACATCTTATTATTCAAAAAAAGATAAAACTATGATAATGCTAAATTTAAAAGAAGGATATTAATAAATCTAACTTACAATCTTAAAATTAAATAGCTTTAGAATTAAAATTCAATCATAAGTTGTATTTGATTGATAAATCTTCACAACTTAGATCTTATTCCATCAAATTTCTCGGGCAGTCCAATCCTTGGTTCTTAAATATTGTAAAAGTATTCTACCATTGGAAAAACAATATGATTTGGTGCATATATTGAAGTAGTTCCAATCATCTCTATATCTTTGCTTCCTATCATTCTTGTTGTTTTCTGTAGTAGTAAGTTGAATTGATGCATTGCAAGCATTAAGTCCCACAATTGCTCTTATATTTGTGCTATTGCATTCTTCATTTTAAGAAGTTTTGCCATAACAAGACTTAAAGTAAAAAAATTATATCTAATATTACTCAAATCAAATAGAAAAAAAGACTTAAGAATAAAAAAAATACTAAGGACAGTATTAATTTAGAAGAAGGTAATTTGTAACTTCTAATACACTTATGTCTTATCAAGAGAAAGGGATAATCTATTCTTAATCAAGAAAAAAAAATTGTAATATTGTAAGTATATTCTTATCAATTTATCAAGGACAAGAATTCAATGAAAGCAAATAACAAAGTAAATTTTTTTTCAAAGAAGTATGATAAAATAGAAATAAAAAACATATATTTTTTTAAAAAATAAAATGTCTATTGCCAAAAGACAAGAAAGTTAAAGACCCTTGAATCTAGACTAAAGCAAGAAAAAAATTAATAAGAGTGAAGAAGGCTTCACTCTAGCCTCTATATATACTATCCACTTATAAGCTATATGACAACATTCTATAGGACTTCCAACATGTGTTGACTTTGTAAACTACATGTCTTAACTTGCAAGGCAATTTTTTTATAAATGTACCATATAATTATCTTGTTCCACAAGTTACCTACATATGCAACACGTGGCTAACTTGTTAACCAAGTTTCTAACCTAAAAATCAACTATAGACATAGTATTGATTTTACATGTATTTTTATGTAATTTTTTCTATGTAATAATTATCTTCAATAAATTGCATATGTTAAAATAGATTTTTTTTTAGATTTTTGTAACTAAAATTTATATTGTGTAAAAATGGTGTTATTAATGTTATTTAAAAAAATTATTTATATATTTATGTATTAATATGCTCTTATTAAGAGTTTCACAAATTTAATATATAGATGTTTATATATATATATATATATATATATATATATAGTTATTAAAGCCATACCTCAATATTTTTAAAGCCACATCCCAATGTTATTTATACCATATCTTTTTCTTACTATCTTATGATTGATTCTACCCATTTTTCATTTGTGTCCACTATTTCCGTCCACTATTTGGAGACCTCTGTCCTTATTCTTAGTTCCTTGATGTCATTCCCTTCATTTGTTCCCTCTTTTCCATTTCAAATTTTCTCCCATTCCTATTCAAGTCCTTTATTCCTTATCTTCCACTGTTTTTTTGCAAGCAATCAATATAAATTAATATATTTTCTCTTGAGTTCTTCTAAATTCTCTATATCATAATATATTGACTACTTCTATTTTCACATTTTGACTTGAGATGTTATGATTTTTGGATCTATATCCCCTTTAAGTTTATTTTGTAAATATGTTCTATATCCTTTTTAATTTTATTAGGAATTTTACTTCATCTTCTAATAGAAATTGAGTATAGTGGTGGTTACAACGGTGGTTGACTAAGTGGAGCTTAAACAATCTTAGCAAATACTACTTTCTATCTTACATTCCAAAAAATAAAAGAATAGCTTAAAAATACCAAGGCCATTGCTTTGCGCCAAAAATAATTATTAACTCTTGAAACTTATTATAATGTTATGTATATCAATATAAAACCAACTCTCTTTTTTAGTTGCTTGCCACCAAAAATTGGCAATAAGATTCACAATCCTTGATAACTAACTTACAATATAATACTTAGCAATCCTTTGCATTACCTCCTCAAAGGAAACTAATCTCGACTTTTCACTGATTTAGGTAAATTATATTAAAAGTATCCAAGTAACTCCAACATCATCCAAATATCACCTCTACAAACATCAATATTTGGCTCAAAGAAGATAGTGAGCAGTTGGCACAAAGAATGAAGGACAAAAATGGAGATGAAAAAAGAGGAAGTTTGAGATGAGGGATTGGGAACAAAGGAGAGGAACAAGAACATAGAACAGAAATGGAAGAAGGGGAGAAAGGGAGGAAGGAGTTTGGGATGGAGAATATGAAATAAGGAAGAGGAACGAGAATATGGAATGGAAATGAGAGGATTTGGGAGAGGGGACAAAGATGAGGGATGGACAAAATCAATTATGAGATGACAATGGGAGGATGTGGCTTTAATAACATTGAAGTGTGGCTTTAACTCCTCCCTATATATACATATATATATATATATACATAGAATATACATATATATAATATTCACATATGTATTATATGTATGTAGTATATAACAAATAGAGAAATATAAATATAATTTGTAAGAACAACTATTATTTTTTTAATACTTGACTTTGTCATTAAATATTTTAAAACACTTAATTATTTATTTTAGATCATTACAATGTATTTGTTAATATAATGAAAGGATGTTTTTTAATTCAAATACATATAAGAAGATAATTCTTTCTTCAGGTTACAACCTTCTTGTTTACCTTGTTATTACTCTGTTAACAATTAAATTCATTAAAATTACTTTAATTGCTATGTTATAGCACCGAATACCTTCTTTTTAAAGATTGCCTTATTAGCATCAGAAGCATTGAAATACGAGAAAATGTGCATCATGAGACCTAAGTTATCATAAAATTGGATATGCAGCTATTCAAGGCAAAATGTAAGAATGTGTTTAATTACCCACTTGCACTTGAAAATCGGTGATAAATCTGACTTGTACATCAATATTGTATCAAGTTTCAAAAAGTAGAGTTTTATTGTTTAGAAGAAATCATCTGTGTCATAATATAGATTGGAGTTCTGTGGTTACATGTTCATTTTTCTCTACAACTGCAGATGAGAATCATTATGTGTTAATTGTCAAATGTGTACCGGAATGTAAATCTCTTTTAGGTCAACGGCATAATGAAAACAATTAGATGGATGATTGGTAATGTTGCTTGATTTCGTTTAGAGAAAGATCTGAATGAGCTATTGATGACAGTAGGATTTTTTTTCAGCATATTAGAATAGTATCTAGCTTTGAAAATTGAGACGTGATGGTACTCATTCGTGCTTCGGGTTACATGTTTTTATGCAATGTATCAACGTTTACTAACGAAAGTTGTCATCAAGGTGGCACTGTGTAGCGTAAAGTACTAAGATGGATTTAGTGCAATTATGATGGATGACTACAGATTCGAGAACAGAATTCAGAAACAGTGTGAAATATCTCCTGGTAGGATAGCATACTAAACGACTAGCCAATTAGAGAGTGCTGAATGCACTTCAATCGTATCCATCGATTACGGGATACTCACGTTCCTGTTGAGTGTCTACAATAACAGAAGCAGTTAGTGGGTGACCATTGATCATAATGCAGTACTCATGAGACAATCCAGACCATTCTCACATTGACGAACAGACACTGCGTCCAGTCAATAGGACACACAATTTACACCATACATTTCGAGAAGGAGATGTATTCATGGCATGGAAAAAATTCACATTACAGCCTACGGCAAAATTGATATTTACAGACCCAAGGCACCGAGAGGGGTGAATCCCTGGCCGGCTTCGAAGTAGAAGATGAGCATCGCCACCATCGCAAGACGAGCGTGCTTGATTTCGGCGAGTTGCAACCTCTCCAGCTTGGAGAAGTCTGGCACGTACTGCCCTCCCTGCACTGATCCTGCCAGCGCCAATGGGTCGAAGAACTTGCCTCCGGGGTATCCCTGCAGCCCGGTCGAGTTGTTGAAGTTCTCTGCGGTCCTCGACCACGGAGTTGCCCACTCTACCGACTGCGTGCCGGGGTTCAAGAAGTCGATCCACCTCTTGGTCTCCACCCATCCCATCAACAGCAGCTGGGTGCCCAACAGACTTCCGAACGAGAATGGTGCCAGCGCGGCGGGGTCAGCACCAGCTTCGAACCATGGAACGCCGCTCCATCCCTGTCCGACGAAGATACCGACAACGGCAGCCATTGCCCACCTTCCGTGGATGAGCTCTGCTTCTCTATACCATTTCAAGGCGGCGGGGTCCCTGCCCAAGCCCAAGGGGTCGAATCCGTAGTCGCCGGGAAGACTACACAAAAACATTAACAGTGTTAGTGACTGTACGAACAAAACACAATTAGACACCCTCTCATCCAATTTTCTAAATCGGGCGATGCAGCGGGGCGCATACCATCATTACACACCGACATCCTTTGAGTTGCGCAAGGTCTGGAGGCAATCAAGATAGCAATGCAGCCTCTCAACTGAAGTCTAACACTACACGAGCACTACATCCATGAAATAACCCATCACTACAAATACAGTATCGATTGCATTTAGAAAAGCTCTAATATTCACTTACGTCTCTAACGCAATTGTCATAAGCTAAAAGTGAAGAAACTTACGAGCCATCCAACCACTCGGGGTCGGTGAGGTTACCTCCACCCTTCACAGCGGGGATCCACGACTTCTTGCCTCCAGCAGCAGGCCTGGCCGACACCTTCTTGGTGGCCATGGCCACGACGCGGCTGACATTCTTAACGCCGAAGGACACTACGGGGCTGGACTGCAGATTCCGGGACGACCTCACAAAGGAGGAAGTCGACACGGAGGTAAGCTGAGACACGGAAGTACTGCTGGCAACCGCCATGACTGCAATCTCTCTTCTCTCGCGCAGATAGCTGGAACTGAATCCGGCTATGCAAGGCTCGCGTTTCACTCAGGAACTTTGGACTTGGTTAGAAAGAATGTGTACCTTGGTAAGGCATATACTCAGGCCCTTGGCTATCCGAACCCACAAGCTCGACTTGTCGTTCTCTTCAAGGCGAGAGCCAACGAGTGGCACACGATCTGCCTTATCGGTTCCACGGTCCAGGATTGGGTTTCCGTGGGGCTCCATATCCGGGGCGGCAAATGGGACCACGCCAGCTGGAGAATTGGGCTCTGGGTGCGAGTCGAGGAGATTACATGGACAATTCAGAATGCGTCCCGCGGGTGGTGCTGCTCATGGCTCTCGCGAGGCTGCCTCCCGCGACTTCGTCCCTGGGAAGAGAGTGGGAAAGAGCGCGAGCAAGCCCAGACCGAGAGTCGCGCCAGAGCCACGAGGATGCTTGGCTTAGAGTGATCGCGGAGTGCTCGCGCCATTGGCGCCACAGATTGTCCCTCGCTCGCTTTCGCTGCCCCCACCCTGCACTGTCCCCGTCACCGCTCCTTAGGGTTCGTGGCTGCAGTCTCCTTCTTGTGTTATTCACAGCTCAATTCTGAAGTGGTATTGTAATAAAAAATACTACACATGCATCAGATCTCTTTCCAATTGTTCAAGATTAAAATGGTTGTTGAACTTGAAGTTGATTCTCACAAGATATGGAAGCATCTCTGATGAAGTTAATGCCTTCGCTCCTTGAAAAATATATTCAAAAAGTTTTTGAGATCAAATTATCTCGTAATTCGAAAACTTTGAGAGGCGAAGACAATAAACTAGTGACGACAATAATTAGAGTTACACACTAGCAGCTACGATACATGACTGAATTATCTAGTTCAGTTGTTTAACAACAAGAATGATAAAAAATAGAAAGCAAAGTATTTGAGCCGTATTCCGTACTAAATATATTGTTTCATTATCTTGGACATATTTTTCCTGATTCTTCAACCTCCATGCTGAAGTGAAATGTGAAGACATTTTGACATGAACCCTGTAGACACTGCTCAGTATCCGTTTGCATGCGGCGCAACATCACCTGTCTCACGACAACAATAGCTCGAGCTACATATAATCAGTAGCTATGTTGAAACCTAAGTGTTCGATCGAAGATAGTAAACGACTACCAGATTCAAGTTATAAAGCTTGCACAACCGTACAATCGCACCACACCCGCCCATCAACAATTCTGCAAGTTAAATGTGACCGAATGAGCATGTGAGAATTCACCACTCGACAGTTGATGAGTTCGAGCACAACCCTGAAGTGACAAGCCGATCATGTCATTTGATTCAGTCACATTGGCAAATTCGGAATAGCACATTAAGCAGGCCAATCTTTGAGTGAAAGAGCGCAGCATTAAGTTCTTCGATGCAAAATTAATGGAAGATACGTAAGAAGGGCAATCGACAGTGTATCAAGGATCATTGCATTTCGCTTGGAAATGTAAAGCGTTTGCGATGAAAAATAACTCGATAGTACGCAGATTGGCAACTGAAAACACGAATGCCATCATCTGGACTGCATTAAAATTGCTCTTACAGTAACTTTCTTCTCGACGTAACATTTCACGGACTGAAATTTTGTAGAGTTGTCCGAAATCAGGCGCCGCTGCAGCCCAACAGTCCAAACCAGTCGATTCTCATCGAGTGTAGGGATATTTCCAACGACCGGAAGCCCGCGCATGGACATTGAGCTGCGGACCTTCGTGAGTGAGCGATGGCGATGCTCCGATTCGGCGCGATCCTCGAAGTGCCGCAAGCACGGTGATACACGCAAGACTCGGTTACAAGGACTCCGTGGATTACAAGGACTCCGTCTTTTGCGTGAGCGCGGGTATAGGCATAGATCCCTCTGGTTGAAAATGTGTTCAGGTTTGGGTGAACCAGGAATTAGGGTAACTTATATATCGCCATTTGAGCAGAGACGGTTAATTGCTACAACTAAATTAGAGTAGTCTGAGTGTATAGCAAGACTAGGTTGAGTCTCTCTCTCTCTCTCTCTCGCTCTCTCTCTTCTTTTGTGATTACTATTCTTCTGTTAAATTAACATTCCATTTGAACAACTTTCTTTAAATCACAACTTAAATGTAATATATATATATATATATATATATATACATTTTTTAAGATATCAATTATTTTATTTTAAAAATATTATTATAAAAACAAGTAATTAAATCTTTTAGAAAATTGATAAAATAATATTATTCATTCAATAATGCTAACATGATTATAGTTAGAGTATATTTTCAAAAAATTAGAATTTTCTTTGGATTTTTTTTCTTCTAAACACTATTACATATATCCTCGTAAATTGTGTGAATTTGTTTTATATTATTTCCTACGTACTTAAAGTAATAATGGGTGTATAACTCACTCTTGGAAAAAAATAATTTAGATATAATGTAAACTTCAAAAGTATTATAAAAAAAAATTATTTATATTTGTAAGTTTTTAAAAACAATATTTGTCTCATTAAATTCTATCTTATTTTTATATGTAACTTTTTTTTACAAGATTGAAAATTTATTATTATACTAAATTAAATATTAAATTTATTTAAAAATATTTATTTATTTTCAAATTTATCATAAATTGGTGGAATCAAATTATTTTTTAAATAAATATAGCAAAAAATTTATTAAAATTTATAAATTAATCTAATTAAAATTTATTCAATAAAATTCATGGAACTTCGTAAGTTATTAGTTACAAACAAGAATGTGATTTTTAATATTTTCTTTGTTATCTTTATTTATTGTTATAATTTTATTTTTAATTTTATTAATAAATGATGATAATAAATAAATGACCAAATTATTATTAACATATACAAAGTGTCTTGAAAGATTTGTTATTCAAATACATTAATTTGAATTGTAAGGTTTTGTTTTCAATGTTCTATCACAATTTTATGCATTTTTCAACTTATTACATTACTAGACTTGAATTATTCTTTTGTATAAATCCAGACTATGTTACAAGCATACCTTATCAACATGCCTAGTCTCAATGTTTATTAGCACAAGGGTAATTATCCAAGGATGAGCCAAAATGCTTATGCAAAGAAAAAGTTTGGAGTTGAAATCATCTAATCTCATATTAACAAAATTACAAAGATGCCCCTCAATCTAAGAGGTATATCAAATACCAACATTTTTGCTAAATAACCTTTAATTTTTCATTATTTTTAGTTGGAAGAAGCTTTGGTAATATAGATATTTTTAGTACCAGACAAAACATATTGTCATAAATAAAAATTGATCAAGGTTCAAGCAAAGATCTTTGCTAATAAACTTGGTTGATTCAAAGATGCTAATTTTTTTTTTAATAAGTAGTTGTAGTACTTGTAAATAAAAAAAAACAAGATGTGTTGTATTATAATCTACCATGAAAGTGATTCAACATGCAAAAAAGCAATTGATTTTGTTCTACTAAAATTCTATAATATCATTACTTGCTATAAGCAATAAAAATATATAAAAATTAGTAATAATTTTTTACAGAATTAACTTAGATAAATGTGTTTTTTTAATAATAATTTTCTTAATTTTATTTTATTATATAGTTTTTTAAAAAATTATTATACAAAAAAAATTAAAAGACTAAAAAAATAAGATACATTTTTATACATTTTGATAGTGATTTTATTTGATCAAAAGAAAATGGATTAAAATATATCTCTTTTTTTTATCATTTAGAACTATATCACTATTTTATTTGTATGAAATATGGAAGGCTTAGAGAAGCTTAAGCCATTTTTTTTATTAAAAAGAATAAAAATAAAACTTATTAATTTATTACAAGACAAAATGAAGTTTGGCTTCTAGTATTGCAAAAATAAAAAATTATGGATGATTAGCTTCTTCTAGTATTTGAATGCAAAATAAAAATATAAAATAATACATTTAAATACTATTTTAATCTCTTCCATCCTCACCATACTATAAATCTTGACAAACAAGGTTTGACAAATATCTACAAGGTGGACCAATTAACTACCATATAATAGATCAAGGTAGCTTACAATGAGATTTCAATTCCAATCATAGCTAATTATTTCTATTGCTTTACCCTATTTGTAGCACCACTTAAATTTGTGGTTGCCAATGTAGAAGAATGAAACATTAAGCTACATATGCACAATGCTATAAAAAAGTTTCTACCATAGAATTATTTGGCCATTTAATATCTATTGAATTTGATAATTGATGACAATAGACCTCACATAGAAATAGATAATGACATCATTATTTCCATGGTGCAAAAAATATGTTTTTAGTAAGAAGAAGAATACATGAAGGTTATAGAAATTATGTAGGAAGAAAAACTCAAGTCTTAAGCTACTATTGTTTTTTCTTCTTCATGTGCCAAACTTAGTCAATAGAGCTATAAATTAACATATTAAGTAGCTTTAGATGTCTATTCATATTACTACTTCTATACAAAATACTTTCAATTCATGATTGTATTAATTTAATATATTCAAATACTTATATTCTCTCTCTCTCTCTCTCTCTCTCTATATATATATATATATATATACATATATTCTTTATTGCTAAAATATGTGCTATTTTTTCCATGGTGTTTGCATATATATATATATATATATATATATATATATATATATATACATATATTAAAAATTAATTTTTTTTATCTAAGATTAAAAATTATAAGTCATTAATTAATTTCTCTTAAACAAGCTTTGTAAAAGATATGTTTTGTAAATTTAATGACATTACAAGTTATAAGAATATGCATTATTATAGTTATAATTAAATAAAACTTGATTTAAAGAATAATAATACAAATTAAAATATAATTTTACATCAAAAATTCTATTTTAATAATTATTTTTAAAAATAAAATATTTAAAGTAAAAAAATTGAAAAAATAATAAAAAATAAAAACTTATATATACTAATAATATATTTAATTTTTAAATGATAATAAAAATATAATTTTTAATTTAATAGCTATTTAATAATAACTTTAGTTGTATTCTTTTATGATTATGTTTATAATTACTTTCCAAAATTTTTGAGAAACTTACATAAATACAAAAAAATATTAAAAATATATATTTAATTT